AACTTAATCAAATACAATAGATAATAATAACTTAGCATCTCACATCTTTTGCATTGTTAACTTTTCTTAAATGTTTTATGGTCTTGAAAGTCACACATGTTAGAAATAAAAATACAAACTATTACCTGGTGTTTTATTTTTAAGAGTTACAAATGCAGCCTTCTTCTTTCCAAATTCTTTTTTAAAGGATTTTCCCTAATACTGATTATTTGTTATAAAGCATAAAAACATCTATGCAAAAGAAGAACTGCATTAATGCACATTAATTTCCCCCATAGATTGTAGGATTACCCATGAAGTTGATTACCCATGAAGTTTACTAACTCATTCAGCAAATATTTCTGTCTCCTCCCTATGCCAGGTACTCTATAGACACTGGTTTTTGTTGATAAATATCATAGGTGAGATCTCTTTTGGTACTTATACGATAGTGAGGGAGGAAAAGGCAGTAAACTAAAGACAAAGATAATAAAGCTCCCCACTATGAAGTTACAGAGAAGTGCAATTTAGATTGGGTAGGAATGTAGTATCTACAAAGAAAAGGGATTATAGAAAAGACTATCAAAATATTTTGTCTCTTTCCATTTTTTTAACCAGAACAACTTCTCTAAATGCAAATGTATGGAATCATCAGTTAACTCCTGTGCAAGGAACATATTACCGTGAGTCACATTGTGGACAGGGCTAGCCTAGAGAGGGCAAGGGATCCACCTGTCATCAACTTCCCTCTTTCGTTTCTCTGGTTTACTAAAAGCTTTGTTCCAGTTCTAGGAACTAATTTAACCTTTTTCCTCTTCTACTTGGAGGAGAGAATAAGTACAAATTTAATTTTTATTGCCTTCAATCCATCCAGAGCCTACCTTTGGTTCATTTTAAAGACCACATTTGGGGAGGTTTAGATCCTTTTGTCTACTTGATGGAGAGAACAAAACCGAAGACATCATCAAGCTTTATCTTTCCCCTTCACTTTACAGAGAACTAGAATATCCAGGGGATCCAGCAACTTCCCTGGAATTGGATGTACCCTTTTATAAATTCTTAGGTAACTGACCTCTCACTATTCCATACAACAGATGACTCCATCACCACTAGAAATTAATAACATCCCAACATTTCATAATTTCTCTTCTCAAATGAGCTTTCTTTGTATTTTAATGAGTAAAGAATCATTTTAGTGAGTCCCATTTCCAGTGCCATTTGTGTTGGGGATACTCAGGACCATCCCTAGATACCATGATTTGCTGGAGGACTCACCAGACTCAGTTATTATCATGATATTATAGCAAAAGGATACAAAGAAAAACCAGTAAAGGAAAAGGCTATCAGTGGAGTTACACAGGACATGTTTAATAACTACAACTATGAACCGTGACAGTACATGTGAACTGTTATCTACAAAGAAACTCATTAGACACTCAGTGCAGGCTGGTCTCATAGACACCCTGTGCCTACACTGTACCCCAAACTCATATTCCAGAAAGAAAACAGGTGTTTGGCATAAACCACATTGTACAATTTGGACACACCAAGCCACTCTTCAGCTTGGGGATTATTGAGAACCCTGGCAGGCTCCCAAATGCCAGCCTGATCAACCTTGTAAACAGGCCTTTCTAAATATAGACATCTCAGCCCTGTTTTGTTAACTCCTTTCTGCATGGCTTGTAAGATTCAATATATAGTAAGTTTAGGGATACTTGGGGTCTCTGGGATTTTAGAGAACAAGACTAGCTCAAACCTGTGTCTCATTTCATCCTATCTATAACTGACCATAGACAAAATGCTCACTGAAATATTGACCATTCCCATTCAGTAGTTTGTCTGGTATAAGAGTTGCAGGGGTTTATTTCACTGCAATGGCTGAGAATCAAACTTCTTGTTTTCAAAAACTCATATCCAAATGAATAACATAAAATTTGCTGAAATAAGATTTATTGAGAAAAACCTACAAACAAAGTGGTAGCAGAAGGCATGCAGTACTTCATATTCTCATCTTGCACAAGGGATATTTGGGCAAGGGGCAGCAGAATGGATAATGAGTCATACTCTAGAGGAAGGGTCCTGTCCACATACTAGCTCATATATTTATGGAGAGATTGGCAGGGGTGCAGGGAAAAATAGGTTCTGGAACTATGAAGCTCCCTGATAAGGGAAAAATAGATGTGATAGAAGACCACCCGGAAGGAATATTGCATTCATTTCAAATACTGGTGAAAGACTTAGAGCCTCTCTACCAAGCTACCAGGTGGGAAAATGGAAATATCCACCAAGGCAAATACGCACCAAGGCTATCAGGAGAAAAAATGTTTACCACCCTCATTAACCAATAATTCAGCTTTTCCAGAGTTATTTGCATCTGGTTAACATTTTCATTGTCATGATTGTTACACATTTCAAAACTATTTCTAAATAGTCCACCAACCTTATTTTCTTTAAGTGAAATAATTCCAAATATTTTAACAGTTCATTTTCTAGGCTCTTAATCATCTTGGATTATTACTAAACCTTTTCAGACTTTTTGAGTTTCTTTTTAATGATGGATCCTAAAAATTAAGTTAATCAATGATAATTAGAATTTTTAAACTATCAAAGTAATTTGGACTTTTATTTTTACATTATAAAAATTAATGAAAATTTCCTATGAATCTATTTTTAAAGTAATTTTAGAATGTACTACACTGCATGTTTTGAACCCTACCCTTTTTCTTGTATATGGAAATGCATTATACATCCTATATTATTGCAGATAAAAATATCAGTCCCCTCAAGGACCCTGTTTCTGGGTTAAATGAGAATAACTGACCTTATGGGCTGTCTCATACTATCAAGGGTGACTGAGCGAAAATTCTCTAGGATTAACAGACCATGTTAAATAACTAACCTAGCTATTCATATGCCAAAAACTCTATTGTAACAGAATTTATTCTGTGATTTGCCTTTGTTGCCAGACTGACAATTGTAATATTAGCTTGTTGAATAGTCCGTGTGACTTGTGCACTGGATGGGTCCTGAAGGTTCTAGATTGACCTGTCACGATCGCTTTGGTTACTGGATCTGGGAGAAGTGGTCAGTGGTCCCCAGAGAAAGGTTGTTGTCCCTGGGATGGAGAGCCAGCACTTGGTAGGGCATAGAGGGACTCCAAGCAATGGCTGTTTATCCACTACCACCAGAATATTCCAATACTTTAGCAGTAGATACAAATGCCCTGGTGCATACATAGTACCAGCTCAAAAAGGCAAATTTTGGCTTACATCACTTTGTGTGAGATACATCTCCTAGGACCCTCCTGCCTGTTAACTTTTCTGTTCTTATTTTTCATCTTTTATTTGTTTCAAAGTACTTTTCCTATCACTAAGAGAAGTCTTTAGATGTTAGGATTTAGTGCCATACTTCCAAAAATAATCTACATTTAAAAGAGAACTTCTAGAAAGAGACTTTGTCCTTAAATTCATGCCAAATGGAGTGTTTGGGAAGGCAGGATACTCACAAATGAGAGCAATCATACTTTCAGGAATTAAGTGCCAAGTGATATTTATACATTAACCATGCGGAATGAGTATGGGAATTAAGTTGAAGGAGAAATTAATTCAAGCATCTTAAGTTTGATAGGAAGAGATTCTTCACAAGTACATTTGACTGGTTTATTGGATTACTAGAATTGAATTTGGGAAATGTTACTATATTTGTTGGTTCAATCAGAAGCTTTTCACACTGAAATGTGGCTTTAACCTGTGCCTTAAAATGGAGGCACAGTAAAGAAGGATAAGAGCAAAGGTCTCATCTGCACTTTGAGTACCTTGCGTACTTCTTATAAATTAGTCCCTGGTGAAAAATTCCTTGGGTGGGAAAATCTCTTTCCACCCACTGGGAGTTCAGGGTTGCCTCACTCTGCCAAGATCTGCTGACATCCCTCTCCTGGCTTTTCATTTGCAGCTTATATTGGCTCCCGCCTTCCACAGAGGATCCACTTAGCAAATAAACAATTCTAGCTCATCTTGGTATTGTCTTTCTTCCATATCTAGTTCTTTTCCACATATTGGATGTTTGGATATTGTTCAATGAGTTAGTGGGCAAAAAGGACACAAATGAAATGGTAAATGAATTGGTTCCTAACTGGTTAGTAGACTTTCACTGAAAAATGCACAAAGGAAGTAAACTACTATCTGTTCTCCCATTGAAACTTATTCTCTATTTTTAAATTGAAGCTATTAATAGTTTGAGAAGCAATTGTGTAACCGTGCTTCACATGTGCTGTTGCATTAGCATTCCATATTTATATTTTATTTCCAATTATTCCACATTCTAGCTTCCATAGACCCTATTAGTGACAGTCTTGCCTTTCCCAGTTTCCACCTGGAACTCAGCCTAATTCATTGTCCTCACAAAGAAACCAACAAAAATGGTGAAACAAGGTTTAAGAAAATTTGTGCTTAGCAGAATGTAAAAGCATTTGAAACTTTAAAATGTTTCATTTAAAGTTCTAATTGGAATTTAAAAAAACAAGAACTATGTCCCCTTACTGCCCTCAACTGGTATAGCAATAAATTGCTCTATCAAAATAAATTTCCTAATCCATGCTTATATGAAATGCAAAGCAAAAGTATACAATAATTTCTTTGTACCTTGAAAGAGGCTTCATCAATAGTGAAGATATTCAGTTGCCTTTCCCAATGAGATATAGCAGATAAAGCTACCCTTGCTTCATTCTTTAGGAACAGAGAACAAGACTTGGAAAGATCCAGTCTATTTCTTTAAAGGGGGTGGTAGGATTGGAGAAGTCATAGAGAAATCCTGTGTCACAGTGAGTTAACCACTCTTATTTTTAGTCCACAACACCCTTGTGCCCTTCATTAATTATGCTGTTCTAGATTTGGAAGTCTGTCATGACATGAATTTGGTAAGGTGGATTTTCTGGGAGATGAATGCAAAATGACACACCCTGAGTTTCTACACGAGTTTCTACATGGATGAGGAGCTAGCTAATGAAACAGAATAACACAAACTATATATAATCACCTTTATTAGTTGTAATTCAGTTTACCTTAGAACATTAATATCTTCATTTTTATTAGTTTCTCATCTAATAAAGCACCATTGCACTGCAAAATTAACCTTATGCAATAAGTACCTAGACATGCATTCTGATTTTGTTAATTGTGATGAAAAAGATCACATCATTTCCTTAAGAAAACATTTAGACCTCCTTGTTTCATTTTGATTTTCTTTATAAGAGTTACAAGCAGCGGGCTCGTTCAAAGATTGATTCTTTGTCCTTTCACGAGTCGTGCTCGGAATCGCCAGACGTCCTGGAAAAAATGTCAAATAGAATGAGGTTATAGAACTACATTTCATTTTCTCTGTTCATTCTATGATAAAGCATATTTCTTGCATCTATAAATGATTAAACATGAAAAAGCTCCATAATAATCAGATCACTAGTAAATAAACCATATCCTGAAACTCCAATAACTTTACTTCCCAGTGTCCAAGAGTGTTAAATAAACTAGGACAGAGTGTCCCCAAACAGCCAGCCCACTTCCATCTGGTACTCTCCGTGCCTGGGGTTTCATAACTGGGTAAGGTGATGTGGTCATCCCATGCAGCTTTCCTGCTCCCCCTTTCCCCACTTCCCTCTACATCACTGCCTGCCTTGTTTGGAATATTCTACTCCTGCTTAGATCAGAGCTGTCAGATGATGTCATGGATGACTGGCTTATTTGGGTTTTTTTCTTCGTTCCTAAGACAATTCAGACTGTTTCTATTTGTTTTTGAGCAAACTGACCTGGCTCTGAAATCTGCCATTTACTAAGTTAGGCCAGCCTTGTGGGTCTTTACATTCTCACTAAGAGCATGGAGCAATAATGATGACTACTCGTTGGGCTTGGGTAGGGGGGGAATGAGAAAAGGAATATCAAGGACTTTTGTGCCTTGCAAAGAACTACACAGCAGAAGTTAGCATTGTTATTTTAAATAAAGCTAATAAACTGCAACAGAGAGTAAAACACAAACAGGAGGTAATTAATTGAACACAACCATGACAAACCTCAATGTATACCTTTTTTTTTTTCTGCCTTAAAATTCAGGGTTATGGACAGAAGCCCCAGTTGACAGAGTATGTTGGCTGTGTAAAGCATTAAGGGACAAAGGGAAAAGGACAGGACTCTCTGGGGTGTGCAGATGTAAAATGGAAGCATTTCAGATGTGGGTGCATGTATATGTTCTAACAGGAGAAGGGGCTAAAGAGGGGCGCACCCTTCTGGGCTACGAAGATGTTTCAGAAACTGATACCTAATAAAAGCTAGAGGAATTTGCCAACATTAGGCCTCCCCTACAAGAAATATTGAAAGGAGCTCCGATCTAAACCACAGAAAAGAAAGTACACACGCAAGAAAAAACCTGAACAAAGATATAAACAGAGCCAGAAAACTAAGATGGAAGAAGCAGACCCTCACACATCAATCCTGGGCAAACTCACTCAACAAAAGAGTGTGGCTGGACGATAAAGCAAAGTCCGACTACAAGCTGTTCCAAAGTTTGCCTTTAACCTTCACCTCCCTCCTTTAAATTCCTTTCCTGCCTGCCTTCCCTTGGAACAGGTTGAGCCTACATGCCACAGCACGCCTGGACAGGAAGCAGATCCAAACTAAAATTCCACTGTTATTTCTAGTGGGTCTCAGCTACGTTTCTGAAGTGAACTCCAACCCCTTTATGTTTTCAAATTAAATCAAGTATGGACTAAAGCCTGATGAAAAGAAAGAAAAATAAAATCTCGACCTTGTTATTTCATACAAACATACCTTCAGGTCAACTTCTCCTTTAACACCATAAAACTTATCTGCAATTCCTACAATTTCCTTTTCAATGTTTTCTTGACTGGTGCCTTTCACATCGATGTACTTGCAAGTAGCACCAGCAAAATGACAGGAAATTGCCTGCAAAATGAACCAATTAATATGAGAAAAAAAATACCTCATTAACACAATCAACCAATCAAGGAGTCTTCTTTTAGAAAGTTATTTCTCTGAGTCAATTGATTTCTACATTGAAAGCTGTTCTGTTGTATCTTTTTTTTAAGATTTATTTATTTATGCATACAGAACTGGGGTACAGGCCAGAGGTGCAGGGGCAGTAAGAGGATTCACCAGCAGAACAGGCCGACTGATGAAGTACACGGCTGAGGAGAGCAGCGGGTGGGTCAGGAGAGGTCTGCTGAGCCATGTGGGTCACCTCCAGGGCAGGGGGGGATCAAACTCATGCTGAAGTGGCTTTTAATTGATAGTGCTATGCTTTAACCCGCTGTGCAACCAGGGAGAGCCCTGTTCTGTTGTATCTTAAACCAGTCTCTCTGTGGCCCTCCCTCTCTCAATTAAAGGCTAATTGAGAAATTTCAAGAGATTTTTAGCTTGCTGTGGTATTAATCTTCAAAAGGTGTACACAGGGCAAGGAATATAATAACACAAGAGGTCTTTCACTTGTTGGCATTTGATTTTTCTAATGCTCGAA